AGATACATCTGCAGTGGCATAGGGATTAGGGCACATGCCTGCTAAGATGGTGGCCGGGATTCAAAACCATGCAAAGGCAGGATTATTGCGACTTCAGGATCAACTCAGCCAGGAATCAGTTTCTGTCACTGTCTGTGATTTTCTGGATTTGTCTGGGAAGGAGAGATGACAAGGAAGGGAATTGGTTCCATCATTTCATTTCATGGCCCAGAGCAGTGTTCTTCAAACAGTGGGCCATGGAAAAGTCCAAGTGGGCCACTACAATATATCTGACGATGTAATGGGGCCGGGTTGGTAGAGTTTTGTGTGTGTGGTCTCACCCAGGGTTGCAAACTGTAGGAGTAACACCTGAAGGATGAGAATCCAACAAGTACAAATCCTGGACACCCAATTATATTTGGATACCCAATGGATAGGTAGCCTTTAGTCAAGTCTGAGCTGGGAGTAAATATATGACTATAACACATTTAGCGGACACATTACTAATCGCTGCAAAGAGTGTGGCATCGCACGCAACAATCTGGGACCTGAATTGTAGGTGTTTTTTCAGCTTCGCCTGTCCACACACTGACAGTTTTTATTTATTGGGCTTGTCTGTATTGCTTTCTTATACTGTGCTCTGTAAGTTAGGAAAACAAGTTAATTTCATTGGCCAAATTTTTAAATGGTGACCCCAAAAAACATTCAACAAGCAAAACATTTTAACATTCCTGGAGTAGAGGCCAGGACAATACTGAGGAGAACAGTGATAATAATATTTTGAACAAAAAAGACACAAACAACAGACTGCACAATTTATTGCCTGGCATATTTCGCTGTATCTCATCAGGTGCATACTACAGTAACAATTGATTAAAATGAAGCAAATAGCTGAATACTAGAAACTGAAACACAAATTTGACTACAGTCATGAACTGACTGTTTCACCAAGGTAAGATAACGACCATTTCTCTCTGCCTGCAAAGTTTTGGTTTCAACCGGCTGATCCCTGATGCTTCCGTATATCAGAGTAATCTACGGTTGGCCGAAATGTAAATAATTCAAAATGCATCATCCTTGTTAACGATGTGCCCACACTTTAGAATATGGCACGCAATTGTTGATGATGGATTTTGTCCACCAGTTTGACATCCATATGCTCTATGCCAGTGTTTCTCAACCATTTTACACCAGCAGCCCACCAAAACAGAGGAAACCGTTAAGATGTTTCCCAGCAGGGTCTTTGTTTCTTCCAAACTTGAAACACTAGTAAGTTGTCTATGTTAAATATCATTATTGCCAACACCAGTAAATCCTAAAAACCTCATCAACCATATAAAACAGCTCTAATGGGGCAACCAACAATGAGGAATTCAAAGAAGAAGAAATCATCAATTAAATGAGCTAAAACCTGAAGGACAAGAATATAGGCACTGACCGTTTACCCCAGAAGCAGAAGAAGCAACATCGTTTGGAGAGATACTTCTTGGTTCTGACTACGGCATTCCAGCTAAACTCCCGATGTCCCTCTAGCCAGCGATCAATGTACTCTGTCAGAAGGACATAAAATATGGACAATAAATTTGAAACATGACAAATAATAAATCTGTAAGCATACCCCCCCCCCCCCCACTTTTCCAAAAAAACAAAACATTTTACACTTCAAACAAAACTCACAAAAGTGAACCGATTACACTGATCAGCTAGCTGGAGACAATCTACACTGGTCTGCCACTTGATGAGAAGGAGATATCTGGAGACAATCTACACTGGTCTGCCACTTGATGAGAAGGAGATATATGGAGACAATCAACACTGGTCTGCCACTTGATGAGAAGGGTATATCTGGAGACAATCAACACTGGTCTGCCACTTGATGAGAAGGAGATATTTGGAGACAATCAACACTGGTCTGCCACTTGATGAGAAGGAGATATCTGGAGACAATCTACACTGGTCTGCCACTTGATGAGAAGGAGATATCTGGAGACAATCTACACTGGTCTGCCACTTGATGAGAAGAAGATATCTGGAGTACATCGTGACAGTGGAAAAGATAGATGGGAAAAAAGGTAGAGGGAGACAAAGACAGAAGATGCTAGACAGTCTGACATCATGCCATGAAGAATCATCTGTGTTGGAAATCACTGAAAGTACACCAGACAGAAGGCTGTAGACAGTCTGACATCATGCTATGAAGAATCATCTGTGTTGGAAATCACTGAAAGTACACCAGGCAGAAGGCTGTAGACAGTCTGACATCATGCCATGAAGAATTATCTGTGTTGGAAATCACTGAAAGTACACCAGACAGAAGGCTGTAGACAGTCTGACATCATGCTATGAAGAATCATCTGTGTTGGAAATCACTGAAAGTACACCAGACAGAAGGCTGTAGACAGTCTGACATCATGCCATGAAGAATTATCTGTGTTGGAAATCACTGAAAGTACACCAGACAGAAGGCTGTAGACAGTCTGACATCATGCTATGAAGAATCATCTGTGTTGGAAATCACTGAAAGTACACCAGGCAGAAGGCTGTAGACAGTCTGACATCATGCTATGAAGAATTATCTGTGTTGGAAATCACTGAAAGTACACCAGGCAGAAGGCTGTAGACAGTCTGACATCATGCCATGAAGAATTATCTGTGTTGGAAATCACTGAAAGTACACCAGACAGAAGGCTGTAGACAGTCTGACATCATGCTATGAAGAATCATCTGTGTTGGAAATCACTGAAAGTACACCAGACAGAAGGCTGTAGACAGTCTGACATCATGCTATGAAGAATCATCTGTGTTGGAAATCACTGAAAGTACACCAGGCAGAAGGCTGTAGACAGTCTGACATCATGCCATGAAGAATCATCTGTGTTGGAAATCACTGAAAGTACACCAGGCAGAAGGCTGTAGACAGTCTGACATCATGCCATGAAGAATTATCTGTGTTGGAAATCACTGAAAGTACACCAGACAGAAGGCTGTAGACAGTCTGACATCATGCTATGAAGAATCATCTGTGTTGGAAATCACTGAAAGTACACCAGACAGAAGGCTGTAGACAGTCTGACATCATGCTATGAAGAATCATCTGTGTTGGAAATCACTGAAAGTACACCAGACAGAAGGCTGTAGACAGTCTGACATCATGCCATGAAGAATTATCTGTGTTGGAAATCACTGAAAGTACACCAGACAGAAGGCTGTAGACAGTCTGACATCATGCTATGAAGAATCATCTGTGTTGGAAATCACTGAAAGTACACCAGGCAGAAGGCTGTAGACAGTCTGACATCATGCTATGAAGAATTATCTGTGTTGGAAATCACTGAAAGTACACCAGGCAGAAGGCTGTAGACAGTCTGACATCATGCCATGAAGAATTATCTGTGTTGGAAATCACTGAAAGTACACCAGACAGAAGGCTGTAGACAGTCTGACATCATGCTATGAAGAATCATCTGTGTTGGAAATCACTGAAAGTACACCAGACAGAAGGCTGTAGACAGTCTGACATCATGCTATGAAGAATCATCTGTGTTGGAAATCACTGAAAGTACACCAGACAGAAGGCTGTAGACAGTCTGACATCATGCTATGAAGAATCATCTGTGTTGGAAATCACTGAAAGTACACCAGGCAGAAGGCTGTAGACAGTCTGACATCATGCCATGAAGAATCATCTGTGTTGGAAATTACTGAAAGTACACCAGGCAGAAGGCTGTAGACAGTCTGACATCATGCCATGAAGAATCATCTGTGTTGGAAATCACTGAAAGTACACCAGACAGAAGGCTGTAGACAGTCTGACATCATGCCATGAAGAATCATCTGTGTTGGAAATCACTGAAAGTACACCAGGCAGAAGGCTGTAGACAGTCTGACATCATGCTATGAAGAATCATCTGTGTTGGAAATCACTGAAAGTACACCAGGCAGAAGGCTGTAGACAGTCTGACATCATGCTATGAAGAATTATCTGTGTTGGAAATCACTGAAAGAACACCAGACCGAAGGCTGTAGACAGACATGACTTCCAAGGCAGTACAATATGGATTACTAAAAGAAGATTAATAAATGTCAGGCATTCATCAGTCACCTAAAAATCTTATAGACATTAGATGCTACCTGTGGTGGAAGGCACTGGTTCATCATCGCCTCTTCCTACTGGTTGAGATCTGTCTCCATCTCTTCCTGGCCATCCTAGAAATGGGATCCCTATCAGATGCCTGGCCAAAGTAGACAGGCCTGCCAAAAGTGGACAGGTCTGGCCAAAGTAGACAGGCATGGTAAAGTAGACAGGCCTGGCCAAAGTAGACAGGTCTGGCCAAAACAGACAGGCCTGGCTAAAGTAGACAGGCCTGGTCATGGTAGTCAGGTCTGGCCAAAGTAGACAGGTCTGGCCAAAGTAGTCAGGCCTGGCCAAAGTAGATAGGTCTGGCCAAAGTAGACAGGTCTGGCCAAAGTAGACAGGCCTGGCCAAAGTAGACAGGCCTGGCCAAAGTAGACAGGCCTGGCCAAAGTAGTCAGGCATGGCAAATGTAGACAGGTCTGGCCAAATAGACAGGTCTAGCCAAAGTAGAAAGTGTGGCCAAAGTAGAAAGTGTGGCCAAAGTAGACAGGCCTGGCCAAAGTAGACAGGCCTGGCCAAAGTAGACAGGTCTGGCCAAAGTAGATAGGCGTGGCCAAAGTAGACAGGTGTGGCCAAAGTAGACAGGCCTGGCCAAAGTAGACAGGTCTGGCCAAAGTAGACAGGTCTGGCCAAAGTAGACAGGTCTGGCCACAGTAGACAGGCCTGGCCAAAATGGACAGGTCTGGACAAATAGACAGGCCTGGCCAAAGTAGACAGGCCTGGCTAAAGTAGACAGGCCTAGCCAAAGTACATTTTTGAGACAGTTGGAGTATTTCTCTCTGAGAAATGATAAACCAGCAGTTTGCACATAATATATAGGATCTGGAAAACAAATGATCAGACTTTAAACATATGAACCTGCCAGGACAACGACACCTGCACTGACCTGCAACCTGCCTCATGGTTTCCTTGGACTTATCTGCAGGCCCCAGCTGACTGTTGATCACCAGGGAGGCCACCTGATTGAGGTCCATGCCAGAGTTGTAGCTGAACACTCTCCATAGGAGGTTGGGTAGCTTGAAGAGGATGGCCATCACCAGGAGAATGATGGGAACCTGTAGCAAAGACAAAACGTCCAATCAATAAAGGTCTTCCCTTTCAGTAGACTACTGTAACTTTCATAGAGATCCCTAGGGGATCACCAATAGCACTTCCTGAATCAGGCAGATATTATTTACATTCTTCTTTTTCTTTCTGAGCATTTGCTGGCTGTAAAGTCTGAAAGAAAATTCTGGTTGACTGTCCTCTTTCCAAAACCTGAGTGTTGTGTGCACATCGATTTTAATGTACACATTATTAACTGTATGCAAGAAGTGAACTAGACAGGCGGAATGCTAGACGGGCCTGCATGCCCAATTCTTAACCCTCTGAAAATAACACTGTTCATTGGTTCAGACAGTTGCACTCTGACATCTACATAGGCCAGGCCCCTGGTCCTTTGTGCACCTATCATTTCAATTCAAAACAATGTCTCTGTGTTGTGAATTTAACGCTTTAACCAGGTAAAAAAAAAAATTTTTATTTTTTTATTTATTTAACAAAATTACCTCCTCCAAAATTTCACTAAAAGGGGACAAATCGCTAAAATTTTCTGAAATTATAGCCTTAGAAACAGGGGGGAAAGAGGCGGGGAAGGGGTTACAAGTGATTTAGTCATCTGTCTAAATTAGGGTTTCCACTAATAATAACAGACCACTTTGAAGTTGTTATTGTTGAGATGGCGGCTCGTATTGGTCTAGGCAGTACTCCGCAGCTCCAACAACTATCCAACACCACTTCAGGGATAAGGCAACTCAAGTATTTGACACAACAGAGCGTGATTTTGTAATTGTAATATTCCCAATTCAATTCAAACTATCAGCGATTTGGCAAAATACAGCTTTGCACTGATTTCAACAATAGTATCTAGTATCGAGCCCTGAATGTTCAGATGTAATGACAGACTACCAAACATAAAGATGCCAAGAAAAATCCCAGACAACAAACAAATGCTGGGGTTTGTTTGCACAACCCCCCCCCCCCCCCCCCCCCCCCACCCCCTTTTTTTTTTTAAACAGAGGGAAGAGATTTCAGTAACAATTGGAGCAAAGCAGGTTAATGAAACAGGTGGGTGTGGCACGAGGAGTTGAGACAAACTTATAACTGAAGTTTTCACTATCCTGTTGTGCATTATTCAGATCTTTAGGTCTATTCTCCATCAGATTATATCCAGTTGAGTACCTTCATTATCACGGATGGAATCTAATCGAGTATCTTTGGCCTCTCCCAACAACATCAATTTCATGGTTTATATTGGGCATCCTTGTTATAACAGAAGCACAACTCAACAAACATGTGGTGAGCCGGTGGGACAAAATCAATAAGTGCCCTTTCGTCCACAGAAACATGAGGTCAGTCATAAATGCTGAGCAGGACAAGTCGCGGGAGTAGAACAATTACCACCTGACTATGAATGACGTTCAGAAAATAATGCCAAACAATTTTTATGATCTGTCAGCAAATAGCAGAAGTATGAATATGTGTATGTTTACATTTAAAAATGTCAAAATTGTATTACAATTTGGGAACCTTTTCTGGCACAAATAAAATCTCAATTTTTCTGGTAATACAGTGGGTGGGGGTAATGTGCGTTACAAACAGGGAACTGTGTAAGAGACTCGTGCAGTCGATAGGAGGACTGTTGGTAACTGGGTTCAGAGAGTTGAAGCTTTAGACAGTGTAGAGACAGACCTGCTTATGTTATTCAAGCTGTGAGGAAATGGTTATGTAATCAGGGAATACCTGATACACCAATGGCTTGCATGACACTTCTTCATGTTGATGAAAGGTTTTAAGCGCTGGAAGAGAGAATATAGCAAATTGGGATAAATAATAGAAAAAGAGTTGAATTCCATACATTTTGCACAAACAGCTTTCGGACGGAAAAGATGGGGAGGGAGGAGGGGGGGGGGGGCGGTGCCTTTAAGCAGTTGTGTTCTTCTTCTTTCTCTTCTCCGTGTTGACAGACTGTAAACTCCAGCGGAAAGTTCCAGCCGTTCATTTCTCTGTAGACTCTGGTCTTGTTCCAGAACCTGGATGTTGTGTGCACATCCGTTTTAAAGATCAGACTTATATGTATGCAGACCGTTGGTTCTTTACAGATGCACTCCGACTTCAAAGGCAGCTCCCAATTAGTCGACTTCTACGACATGCTTGTTGGGGGAGGGAGTGGATCTATTCTTGTTTTCCCCACAATGGGACCCAGAAACCCGTACGGGAATAGCTTCGTTAAAAGAACACAACACTTCAGAGAGACTGACCCACTGGTAGTAGGCGATTTCTTCTTCGACACGTTGGCTTTTGTCCACAGGGAAAGGGTGTGATTTCTTCACTCTGTATGTGTTCTTTAGCCAACAGTAAGTTCTCACGTATTCCCGTTTGGCCGGATCAAACTCTTGGCTGGCACAGAAACATTCGATGGCGTTGCCTGCAACATAACACTGCGTATGTCAGTCTGGTCAATTAATGTGTCTGTCTCAGTTTATCCTGTTCATCCTGATTTATGTCTCATCTTGTCACATTCACATCAATTTATGCCTCAGATTGTCATATTCATATTAATGAATGTTTAAGCTTGTCACATTTATATGAGTATATGTCTCATCTTGTCACATTCACATTAATGTATACCGCACATTGTCACATTCATATTATTGAATGTTTCAGCTTGTCACACTGCATGTCCAGTAATTCATATTTATGAATGTTTCAGCTTGTCACATTCATATTAGTGTGTGTCAAGTTGTTCAAATTTATGTATGTTTCAGCTTGTAACATTCAAATTAGTGTATATCAAGTTTTTCCTATTTATGTATGTTTCAGCTTGTCACATTGATATGTATGCATGTTTCAGCTTGTCACATTCATATTAACGTATGTTTCAGATTGTCACATTCATATTAATGCATGCCTCAGGGTGTCACACTCATATTAGTAAATGTCTCAGACTGTCATATTCATATTAATTAATTTATGTCCCATATTAATGTATGCCTCAGATATTCACATTCATATTAACTAAGCTTGTCAAAATAATGTTCATGTATGTCTCAGATTGTCAGTCATAATAATTTATGTCTCAGCTTGTCACATTCATACTAATGTATGTCACAGCTTGTCGCATTCATACTAATGTATGTCACAGCTTGTCGCATTCACATTTCGGAATGTGTCAGTTTGTCACATTCATGTTAATGAGTCTCAGCTTGTCACATTCATATTAATGTACGTCTTAGCTTGTCAAAGTCATATTAATGTATGTTACAGATTCTTACCTTCATATTAATGAATGTTACAGATTCTTACCTTCATATTAATGTATGTCTCGGATTGTCATGGTCATAATAACGTCTCAGTTTATCACAAATGTTAATGTCTCTAGGAGAAATGTCGGGCTAATAAGAGGAGATAGATTTGAGAAGGAAGAATAAGAAGAAAACTGGATCATAAATAAGGTACATAATAAGTTAGTAGAAAACAAAGGTTAAAAGGGTTTGGTCATCTAACGAGAATGCAGTGGTGGCCACTATAATGAAACATAATGAAGACAGAACAAGAAAAAGACCGTCAAGAGATGGAATAACCGCATCAATTAAGCTCAACGTACCCAGGGCATGAGACAGAGTACACAGAAACCCTGACATTACCCAGATTTTCTCCCCCCTCCCTTAAAAAACTGTCTAGAGGACGATAAGATGGTGTAGTGCTTATGTCTACAAAGAAAGAGTCTATGCAACGATAACAGACAAACAGTAAACGTGAGACAGCTGTCACGTAGACAAGGAAAAGATAAATAGTGAGAGAAAAGAACAGAGTATGACAACTAGGGACGGCATAGATGAAGCAAGGAGGGGCAGGGGAAGGGGGATAGCAGTACAGAGAAACAGTCTGGTTTGTGTGTGTGGTATGTGTCTCTGTGTGTGTGTGGTATGTGTCTGTGTGTGTTAGGTGAGATAGGAAGAGAAACAAAATAACATAATGAACAAGGAGAGGGAGACACAGGGCCCAGTTACCGAGACCGAGAGGCATACATACCCACATACTGCTTGCCGCTGACAAAAATGGAGAGTACCACGAGCAGGGTGACCGTGTAGATGTGGTTGAGCCGGTCTATAGCGTCGTCGTCGTTGGATGACTGCAGCCTCTGGTATCGGGCAAACCCGCCAATGATGTAGTCGAGCCTGCGTATATGACCAGCGTACTGAAGCATGCATAGAGGTACCACACAACAGAGTCCACGGCACACTACAGCACGCAAAGAGGTACCACACAACATAGCTTCCACGGCACACTACAGCACACAAAGAGATATCACACAACAGAGCTTCCACGGCACACTACAGCACGCAAAGAGGCACAACACAACAGAGCTTCCACAGCACACTACAGGACGCAAAGAGGCACAACACAACAGAGCTTCCACAGCACACTACAAGACGCAAAGAGGCACAACACAACAGAGCTTCCACAGCACACTACAGGACGCAAAGAGGCACAACACAACAGAGCTTCCACAGCACACTACAGGACGCAAAGAGGCACAACACAACAGAGCTTCCACAGCACACTACAGGACGCAAAGAGGCACGACACAACAGAGCTTCCACAGCACACTACAGGACGCAAAGAGGCACGACACAAAAGAGCTTCCAAAGACATTACCTCCTCACATAAAACGCAGCTCTGCAGCCCTATCAGAAGCATATCATCATATCAATACAAAAACTACAACAGACACAGAAGCATCACACAGTGCCTGCAGCATATACAGAAGCACAACACAGTTCTATAACACAGCCAAGCTACCACAACACATAACTACAACACTCTTAGACGCTTGCTTAGTCCCAATCTCTAGTCTTTTATAAAGTATATCCGTGATTACCGTTCTTGCTAATTCTGTTTCGTCTTCAGTGATGTCTACCAGTTTCTACTGTGTTTTTAAAAAGTCCATAGCACCCCTAGCTTTGGTTAAGTATGTTCGTTACGAGCGGCGAATGTGCGCCGCCGTTAGACATTAAGCAGAACAGGTGTCGTTTTTGAAACATGCAGTATCGTGTATTTGACCAAGTACACTCATATCATCATCAAGTAAACACATACGCTATGTCCCTAAGTACACTTTAATATACTGTCAAAACAACAAAAAAGTCATTACTGCGGTATAACACTTTTTAGGGCGGAACAGACAGGAAGTCTTGAACCTGAATTTAGAGCCGCTTAGTTAGCGCCGTCGCCACAGACTGTGCAGGGTAGGATTTCTAATTTTTCCTCGACAGAAAAACCAATTGACCTTACCGGGGGTCGAACCCGGGTTTCTTGCATGATAACCTGATGTTGTAACCACTCGGTCAGCTGCTCCTATACACGTAAATAAACAATTCATGTAATTCATTTAAATACATAATTAACGTCCATGCAGCAATTGCACACTATAATAAACTGATGTAGGTTCCGTTAATAATCTGTTGCAGTTCAAGCTCATGGCAAATGTCACCTTGTCATTTCTCTGATCCTGGGCCAGCGAGGTCCACACAGGATGAATATCACTGTTTCTAAGCGGGGACAACATTGAAATAGAATACAGTCCCGGCACCGCCACAAGCATGCACACACATTAAATGCATCAGACAGTCGCCAGAAGGGCCAACATAAACAGTGCAACAAGCATTATACTTAATCTGAATTTAACTTGCATTCTCTAAACACACACTGGAACAAACTTGCTGTGCAATATTTTCACGAGATATGTATGTTATATTCATTAAATCTGCACAGATTTGTAACGTCTAGCCAATTTATTTTTGCTTTTCAAGAGCTGTTTATGAAGTAAAATTACACCTAGTTATATTTACCAGATGATCACTGGAACCTAATGTATGATAATTCTGTTGACTTGACTTTCTACCCCACCAGGGCATCACACAAGCGATAAACACCCGATGACACAAAGTGCCACCATGCGGATGAGGATCACCGTGGAGAGGTCCCAGAAACCGCGTTCAGACAATTGGCCATATTGATGGCCTGCCTATATTGCGGCCCCTGGCAAAAGCCAGAGTGGGGATTCAAATAACAAAAAATTACGTCCTAAAGAGGACGTAAGGAAGTTTTTTATAATAATTATGTTTGCTCGTGGGTGTGCTTTAACTAACAAATTTTTACTGAAATTTAAGCGTTTAATCCGTCAATGAGCATTATAAGAGAATAAATATTCAATAAATCGTTGACTGTTATATATGGTCGCTCGAGAATAAGCTTTCACCTATAAATTTAACAGCTAGATTCTGAACATTCAAGAAACATTAGGAACTGTGAAAACCAAACAAGAAAATATAACTCGAAACGTGTTTATTTTAAGCAGTTGTTTCCCTTTGATTAAAAATTGTGTGAGGGGAGACAGAAAACAGCTATTTACCTTCACGTCTAGGCTGGTCCATGTCTTGCGCTTTAGATAAAAAAACACCTGTTATCTTGTGAGGGAAAGCACTTCTACACTTTTCTGATGACACTGCAGCAAGATTCTCAGTAAACTTGTAAACTCGTATTCAGTTAACATCCCTCTCACGTCTTGGCGTATTGGGAACATATTGCTCGACCAATACATGACGGCTGATGAGGTCAATATCAGACCGGCCATTTAGCATCAAGGCATGAAGGAACGTCGGAGGTAAGCTCCGACAGGCGGACAGATAGAGCAGCGCTCTTCTTTTCCGGCAGCGTCTGAGGCCTGATTTGTTGCAAACGTACTGGTGATACCTTTCTTTCGGAGTAAACAAGGCAGGTTGAAAGAGGCTATGGTGCGTGGGCAACATATGGACTCTACAATACTGCAAAGGTTTTGTGCTACGGAGAGGAGAAACTTCATCCATGGGCTTAATCAGTCTCAGAAACAGGCAGCAGCTACTGAGAGGAGAAACTTCATCCATGGGCTTAATCAGTCTCAGAAACAGGCAGCAGCTACTGAGAGGAAAAACTTCATCCATGGGCTTAATCAGTCTCAGAAACAGGCAGCAGCTACTGAGAGGAAAAACTTCATCCATGGGCTTAATCAGTCTCAGAAACAGGCAGCAGCTACTGAGAGGAGAAACTTCATCCATGGGCTTAATCGGTCCCAGAAACAGGCAGCTGCTACGGATTATAAGTCTTCACAGGTTAAGTCTGAAGGTGGGAGACATTTTCGAATGACACTGATCAGCTACCGCCCGTCTCCAGGTGGGCAGCCCCAGCCAATTTATGTTGACAACAACGGTCATGAAATCTCATGCTATAATTGTGGAAGACTTTTCTTAATGTGGGAGAGTCTTGCTAGTTACACCCACCATCGCCATGGGCTGTGAGTCCAGATATATGGGAAGCAAGAGCTCGATGCAGATGCAGGCGCTTCAGATCAAACCCAGTTCGCGACAGGACAGACTACACTCTCATCACCTCCACCAGACCAGCGGCCTGGACTAAGCCTCTCTCGTGACCTCCACCAATATCACGTGCCTTTTCGACGGCGTGGGTGATCATGCCTCTCCAAAACTTGCAGGAGCCAAAGTCATTTTTTAAAAATGTCCGAGTCCGACAGGATCTTAACCCAAGAGCATCAGATCCCCAGGCGGACGTTTGGGTATATAGTGCTAGAGGTATATTTTACAAACAATATGGGGATGGTGTGGTCAACATCACACCGACCGCCTCTAATTCCCAGACTGTCACATCGTTCCTAAATTATACTGGGGGGGGGGGGTGGGGGGGGGAGTGCTGGGAGCTAAGGTCAGTTCTGAAAAGTAGCCAGCTCGACGCACATTTGAACCCAAGGGCTTCAGGCCGCTAGGCCAGCGTCTAGCACCTACACCAAGAAAGCTCGCTAACAATAAATAAAGACCCTTCTAATTCCAGTGGCGGACTGGGTATATTATGCTATTTTGTAGCAACCCATCACTCGCTGGGTGTCGTGCTCAACATAACACCGACCGCCTTCACTTCCCATACGTGCCTGGAACCTATTTTAAGCTTGTTAGACCTGGCAGCCACGGCACTTTGAAGAAAATGAATCCACCTAGATGCGAATTCGAACCCAAAACATTTGCGTCGAGAGACGAAAGTGTGGAAGCCGCCGCGGTGTAGTGGGTAAACGCCCGCCTACGGATCGACAGGTTGTAGGTGCGCGTCCTGGCGGAACTGAACTTTCTATTTTCCCCCCAAAACTTATAGGTCAACCCAACCTTCAAAATGGGTACTAGGCATATTACTTAAAAATAAGTAGAAAAGGGCGGCCGGTGAGTGCCGATTGTTCTATAAAATATAGGTCTAGCCCTATATGCCTAGTAAGCCTGAGGGCGTGGAAAAGGGGCTGTTACCGTAGATGAGAGTACAGCCGCTACAACCTCGGCTCCTGTCGCTACATGAGGTTGAATGGGGTATGTGAGATCTGTCCCACTGACTTGCCAGCGAGAATGAGATTTCCTAATTAGAGCAGCCGGACGGGAGTAACCGTAAGAAGAGAAAACAAACTGCGATCCTCTTCCCAATATTCGACAATCATTAAGTTAATTAGTCTAGTATCACTCCTTACTGTGAAGTACTTCTCTTTCGTTCAACCAGCTCCATGAAGGGGAGCTTTAGGTTATAATTGTGATTATGCTACTTGCGCCAAATAGCTCTGAAAAGAACTCCTGCAGTGTTAATGCGACCACTTGAGACAGACCCACTGTCCCGACCGGCGACGAAGTCGTCTACCGGGCAGCCAATGACCATTTCAGTTATTTCAACTGTAACACACGCCAGTGACAGTCGGAGAACCGCGACAGATGTCCTTTCTGCTATGCGCTACATACAGAAGAGTATGAGTGAGTTGCTCTCTCTCTCTCTCTCTCTCTCTCTCTCTCTCTCTCTAAATGACACCACTGACCCCTTAGAATTATTGAAAGGAGGAGGAGAAGGAGGAGGAGGAGAAGAAGGAGAAGAAGAAGAAGAAGAAGAAGAAGAGAAGAAGAAGAAGAAGAAGAAGAAGAAGAAGAAGAAGAAGAAGAAGAAGAAGAAGAAGAAGAAGAAGAAGAAGAAGAAGAAGAAGAAGAAGAAGAAGAAGAAGAAGAAGAAAAAGAAGAAGAAGAAGAAGAAGAAGAAGAAGAAGAAGAAGAAGAAGAA